CATCAGGGCACTGATGAAAACACCACAAGCTAACCCCAACTCACTATGGTAACTTGTCACTGCAGTTATTTTCAACACATGATCTATTTTTTCACATTTCCAGTGCAAAACCATTTGCTTAGAGTTTAAATGTATATCATAATCCATTTAGTACACTTGGAGGGTAGGGTGGTTATGTTATGTAGAAAACACATGTTGGAATGCAGTAGGGTTGGGCAATACCGACATAAAATAATTCTCACAACAGTTGTGGCATTTAGTTGATGATGATTAATCAGACGGTTAATTGATGATGTTGCACTTGCATGTAACCAACATTGCGGCCTTGATTAGATTTCCTCCTACTCTGGTTTATGTTGGTGTTTCAGGTGATTGTATTAGCTGCTCCACACTGCCCTCCAACATTGGGCTCACATGTGCARTGATAGGGTGTCTCATACCAAAGAACATTATGTGACACTATAATTGCAATAGTTGCAAAATGACATATTTTTTGTTGACAGATTTTATGGTGATTAATTGCACACAGTCTAATTTTGCCCAACCTAGACCTTGACTGCAGTCATATTTTTTTTACAAACATCAACCCTCCAATTACTAAGTTTTGATTTCATTTTCCAACCAGAATGTATTAGTTTGTTAAAATACAAACATGTCTTTTTTATATTTTATTTTTTACTGATTTTGAATGCAGTATAACTACTGAATGTTTTTTTTTTTTGCTGTTTTCCTTGAAGGCTTGACAGCTGAGCACATCAGCTGAGAGTCACCCATCTATCATGGCACAACATATTTTATCCTTGAGCGATAAAACATCTCTGTCATCAACATGAAGTGCCACTGCTCTGTCCAATAACTCTTCACCATCTGCCCTTGATCAGATCAGATGCAGAACATGACCTCTTAGGGAGCAAGCAAACCGTTTACACTGAGAATCAGCAGCGCCATCAAAGACCTCCTGTCTTAACTATGTTTRTAGGCCGAGGAACTAAATTAATTTATATTAACTGCACAAGCCAAGTCTTGTCAACTTTTACTTTCATATTGAAAGTGTAGCTTTTTTTGGGTTATGTGTTGAAGATGTCTTGACTGGAAGAACATGAAAGTGTCAGCTACTGCAAAAATAAAGATGTGAATTTAAGGTCCTCTAGTGAACCAAAAGGCAGAAGTTTCTCATCTCAGTTTTGCTTATCATCTTGAAAAAAATAGCTTTCAATATGCTAGATCAGGGATGGGCAACAAATGGCCTGCAGGCCA